CCTGTCTTCCACTGCCTCCCGCAGTTTGGTCAAACTCATGCTGGTAGCTTTGAGAACACTGTCCAACCATCTTGTCCTCTGTTGTCCCCTTCTCCTTGTGCCCTCAATCTTTCCCAACATCAGGGTCTTTTCCAGGGAGTCTTCTCTTCTCATGAGGTGGCCAAAGTATTGGAGCCTCAGCTTCAGGATCTGTCCTTCCAGTGAGCACTCAGGGCTGATTTCCTTCAGAATGGATAGGTTTGATCTTCTTGCAGTCCATGGGACTCTCAAGAGTTTCCTCCAGCACCATAATTCAAAAGCATCAATTATTTGGCGATCAGCCTTCTTTACGATCCAGCTCTCACTTCCATACATCACTACTGGGAAAACCATAGCTTGAACTATACGGACCTTTGTTGGCAAGGTGATGTCTCTGCTTTTTAAGATGCTGTCTAGGTTTGGAGTGATACTATAGGCTGGCTGAATTTTTCATTTTAATTTTTTGTTTAAACCGCTTGGCTAGTTGATTACTTAAGAACATAAGGAGAGCCTGCTGAATCAGGCCAATGGCCCACCTAGTCCAGCATCCTGTTCTCACAGTGGCCAACCAGATGCCTGTGGGAAACCTGAAAGCAAGATCAAAGCACTCTCTCCTCCTGTGGTTTCCAGAAACTGGTACTCAGAAGCATCTCAGCCTCCGTGCCTCAAACTACTGCTTTGATGGTTTCCCAACTGCTTTACTTGCTGTTTGTTTGTGCGTTGTGGGTTGTATATGTGTGGGAGATTTTCTGTTGTCTACATTTGATCCTATTTATGTGCTGAAGCCTGCAAGTTTGCTCACAGGTGAGACCAGCAGATTTACAGGATTAATCCAGAAGTTTCACCCATACCGGTGGTATTCCTTCGAATTATATTTACTCCTCTTTTTAGCAAACAGGCTAGAAACAGTCTCATTTCCTTGCAGTCACCTGTTTGACACATTGCGATGCTTTCTAACGTGTATAGTATAAAAATTATGAACAGTAGGGGATGGGAGGATGAAATATCTGCTATATAAAAGGCAAAGGGACCCCTGACCATTAGGTCCAGTCGTGACCGACTCTGGGGTTGTGGCGCTCATCTTGCTTTATTGGCCGAGGGAGCCCGGCGTACAGCTTCCGGGTCATGTGGCCAGCATGACTAAGCCACTTCCGGCGAACCAGAGCAGCGCACGGAAACACTGTTTACCTTCCCGTCGGAGTGGTACCTATTTATCTACTTAAACTTTGACGTGCTTTCGAACTGCTAGGTTGGCAGGAGCTGGGACCGAGCAATGGGAGCTCACCCCATCGCGGGGATTCGAACCGCCGACCTTCTGATTGGCAAGTCCTAGGCTCTGTGGTTTAACCCACAGCGTCACCTGCGTCCCATCTGCTGTATATAGACAGGGCTTTTTTTCATCCGGAACTCACGGAACTGAGTTCCGGCACCTCTCAGGTGGATGCCATTGCCATTATAAGAGAACAAGGGAGGCCTTTGTGGCAAATTCTGGCACCTCTTATTATAGAAAAATAGCCTTGCATACAGATCATACAGATGATGCAACTGTGGCGTAAATCTCTCATGCCATAAGGCTGCAGTCATCTTAGGCAAATGCCTTGTTGGTTTAGAGCCATCTACACAGGTTGCCTTCTGAATCTCCAAGCTCCTTTTTCCTGGCTCCCAGCCCACGAAGATGTTTTGTGCTCTCACATATGACAATAAAACTATCTCACCAAATGCTGCTAGCTCTCCCCTTGAAATGGGACCCCCCCCCGGCATTCTTTGCCTTTGTTGCAAATGCCAGGGCCCACATGCAGCTCAGCAGAGGCAGCAAAGTGCTGGCAATGTTTTGCATTCCAATAAACTAATAAAGGCTATATAGATAATTCATCAGTAGTGACTAATGTGGATTAGCCATTGGGCAGAAAGCCACTGCAGTCTATTCTGGGAAATTCCCAAATGTCCCCCTGCTCTTCCAGCATTTATAATGGCTCTGTTTGCTTGCTTTTGCTACTGCCTGACACCCGTGGCACATTTTGACAAGATTGTTTGTAGGTTTTGTCAATTGCACAGACTCATAACTATCCTTTCAGGAGCTGTTTCATTTGAACATTGTTCCTGCAATCGGCACATGTACGAACGGCGGACTTCCCAAGAACAAAAAATGTAACTTCTTTTAAAATGGCTCAAAAGTCTCCAGAGAGCAGGGGGCAGGGTGGAATCTGTAGTTGTTTTTAAGACTCTGACGGACAGGAAAAACTCACCAGGAAAATGACAAGGGCATTATCCCTTTAGAGTTTTAGTTGTTCAGCGTACAACAGAATGGATGAAACAGCTCAGTGAGGATCTTCCAATTCCATTGGTCTATTTGGGTCTTCTAAGCATCACCATTTGACCTGTGAGGCCATTTTGGCCAAGCCATGCTCACCTGCCCTACACCTGATATTTATGTATTCATTTCTATCCCACCTTTTCTCCAAGGAACTCAAAGGTTCTCCCCTCCCCCTTTTTTATCCTCACAACAACTCTGTGAGGTAGGTTAGGCAAAGAGACAGTGACAGGTCCAAGGTCACCCAACAAGTTTCATGACTGAGTGGGGATTTGAACCCTGGACTCTCAAGAGGCTGGTCCCTAACCACTACACCACATTGCCTCTTGTCATATATGACATGGCTGGGCCAAAAGGAGGAAGGGTTGCAAATTTGTGTGAAAAGTTGTGTGCCTAGTGATTTGCAAGCCTAATCAGCTGGTCATTGGGGTTTGCAAACTGTTATGCCTTGATTTCAAACTACATGGGCTAAAACAGGCTAGCTGATATCATTGTGATGTCCTGCGATTTAGCCAACTTACTTATTTCACATAGTTTATATGCTGCTCAGTTGTGACAAGAACCTCAAAGCAGTTTACAAAAGAGAATAACACAGTTATAATTAAGTAATAATTAAAACCAACAATTAGCACAACACTACATTAAAATTTAGAAGTGAGTGGCCCTGCCCACATGTCAAACCTGGTGTGTGTTGGAGATAAGGGTCCAGCCCACTGGTCACATCCAGTCCTCACCCCAGTATAAAGGAGCTGGAGCACAGGGCCACAGTAATAGCCTCCCAGGGGTGGTGTTGCTGCCACTTACCAAGAGAGGTGAGGTGATGGTACAGGGTACATCGGAGGTGCACAGATGCACCAGCAGAACTAATCTGGTGCTTCTGCCAGTGTGCCCACACAGCCCTGGCTCACCACCACCGCCTCCCACGACTGTGGGCGCTTGCTTATCACTTCTGTTAGAAGGAGAAATTAAAGTTTATCAAGCAGCTGCTTCCAGGAACCAATGGCCTGCTATATAGAAAGAAGACTTTCTTGGAAATCAGAGCAGTTTGTGGAAAGACATCATAAATATATTAGCCTTATCCATAGGCTAAGCTGCTGACATAATTTCTTTTCTATAAATGCATTTATCTGTGTAAACATTTGCAAAGGAGAGAAATAAATGTCTCCTGCAAATTCACAAACCCCAAGACATTTACACCGAAGACGGATGCTTGTGGAATCCAGCAAGAACCAATTCAAGCTTTTTTGCCTTCAGTCTCTGTTTTCTCAGTGCCTGCCCCATCTGTCTATGTTGTCTGGGATTGTGGTGCCAACTTTTCTTCAGCCTATCCGGAGCACCTTAGCTCAGCCCCTCTGTTAATTGCTGCTCCCATGATCTTTTTGGTCATTTCAAATTTGCAATAGACCTACTGCCTCAAGTTTTGAACCATTGCTTATTTTATTTTATGATTTCTTTAAAAATAGTTCTCAGATGCTTTTTGGGGCATACGAAGTGACATTGCCAAAATAAAAAAAAATCAATTCAAAAAAAGACTGCACTCAAGCCAAGTGATCGTTGCCACAAATTAATACTAACTTAGAAGCTTATAGTTGTTTAAACTGACCTCTCATTTATTATGACAGGAGAGCACATTTTTATGATTGAATTTATGCAAGTCATTACCATGGCTACTACCTCCATCCATGATATTGTAACCCCCTCAGATTGAATGCTGTAATGTGCTCTGCAATGGGGTTTGCTTTGAAGGCAGTTCAAAAACTGCAGCTGGTACTGAATTTTGCTAGCTGACTGATTATTGGAACACAGACAGAAAATATGTTACTACAGTCTTGACTCATCTACACTGGTTTCCTGTCAGATTCTGGGCTTGTATCGAGATGCTGAACACCATCTCCTTTAAAGTCGTGAGTAGTGCTGGATTTACGTATAAGCTAAACAAGCTATAGCTTAGGGCCTCACTCTCTTGGGGGCCCGAAAAGAATTTAAAGGAAAAAAAACCTGGATGTACATTTCCAAAATATAGGTTAAAAAAACAAATAAAATAAAACCTACATACAGCAACAGTGTTTTGTGTTGTGTAGGCTCCTATGATGTAAGTAATGGGCCCCGCCTGCTAGCCTGCTCCCTAAAATATCACTGGTTTGCTCCTTTCTATATATAGGGTGCCTACATTCTGCATGGACTGGTTACATGGCAATATGTGCAAAAGGCTTTAGATACCTATTAGGTCCATAAGTTACCATATAGCATATATTCAACACAAAAAACAGCGACAATTTGTTGTTGACAAAGGACAGCTATACATATAAAGGGCCCCATTACCTTCAGTAGTTTAGGGCCTTATCAAACCTAAATCCAGCCCTGGTCAGGAGTGACCTAGTTCCAATATATTTGAAGGAACATCTGTGTTCATCACCTGCATTCTTGGTTCAGCTACTGTGTCCCATGCATTGGAAAGCTCACAACTGGACAACTGAAACACACTTTATGTAGGGTTCCCTCTGGGAACAGTTCAGAATATGCAACTTTTGCAGAATGTGGCAACTCAGGTGTTAGATGGAGTACCCACTTGTGCACTTGTTAGATTAGTGCTAAAAGAACTGTACTGACTGCCTGTTAATTGCGTATAAAGCCTTGAACAAATTGGGACCAGGTTATGCAGCAGATTGCCTTTCCATGCTGGATAGCTCAGTCTGTAGAGCATCAGACTCTAAATCTTAGGGTCACAGGTTTGAGCCCCACATGGGGAAAAAGGATTCCTGAATTGCAGGGGATTGAACTAAATGACTCTCGTGGTTCCCTTCCTATTCCATGATTTAGTATAGACTCATGCATCAGAGAAAGCCCCGTTGGACTGTGGATAACCATCTAACTTCATATGGAAATGGGTCTTCCCTATAGCAACCTTCAGAATGCCCCCCCCCCCCGCCTCCAGGAGGCTTCATTTGTTGTGCATTTTTTAAATCTTAGTGAAAATATGTATTTTATCCAGGCATTCCCTGATAGTTGATCACTGAATTCTACTGCACAGCATGTTTAGCTTCAGGTTTTTTTGGTCTGAAGATTCTGATTTTGCTTGCTTTCAGCTGCTTGTTACTTGTAATTATTTGCATATGTATATTAAACTTTATTGTATGTTTTAGGAGTCTAACTCCTTACTGTAAAGTGCCTTGTGATATTTTACATAGAGCATGCAGCCTACGAGCTGACCAAATAAATAACGAGAGAATAAATATAAGTGGGTATATGAGGAGAAATTCACAACAACATACTGGTGGGTTTTAAGAGGACATTTTATTTTTAGAGAACGTTAACCTGACATGGAAATCTGGAGAACTGAACTTAAGATAGGGAAAAAATGAGAACCTGAGAGAAACCAAAATGAACAGATTAGTCCATCCTTGCATGAGGCCCTCCAATTCTGGTTGCTTGGGGGTGCAAAGTGATAAACTCCCTCCTCCATACATCCTGCCTTCTCTGTAAGCAACCGCAGAACACACGCCTACAATTAAGAAAGGAAAAAACTTGGTTATGTAGCTGTATGCTATGTATTAAGCAAATGTCTAGCTTGGCTCTCAGGCTGACATGGTTTCATAAGTTGGGGGGGAGCGGAGCTGGAATGTTATTGCAGCACATACCTGTCTTAATCGTCTTTCATTCCTTTGCAAAGAGTCAGACACGTCAACAACATCTCACCAGGTCTCTTCTGCTCCCTCAAGAATGGGGGTGTGTGAGCCCCACCAGCAGACATTGGGGGGGGCCTGTAGAAGTATCATCCCCATGGCGTTGGCGCACCTGAGAACAGGGATGGGGATACGATGGAGCTCTCTTTTTGATTCTAGGGACTCTTCCCAGCCAATACCCCATCTCCCAATCCCTGCTATGCATCTTCCTTGACTATTTTTGCCTGGCTATCATGTGTCATTGAAGTCTTCTAAAGCTTCTGCCTAGATAGAGGATAGGGAAGAACATCGGAATTTATATAGAAGTAAGCCTACTGTAGGGACGCGGGTGGTGCTGTGGGTTAAACCACAGAGCCTAGGACTTGCCGATCAGAAGGTCAGTGGTTCAAATCCCTGCGATGGGGTGAGCTCCCACTGTTTGGTCCCTGCTCCTGCCAACCTAGCAGTTTGAAAGCACGTCAAAGTGCAAGTAGATAAATAGGTACCGCTCCGACGGGAAGGTAAATGGCGTTTCCGTGGGCTGCTCAGGTTTCGCCAGAAGCAGCGTAGTCCTGCTGGCCACATGACCCGGAAACTGTACGCCAATAAAGCGAGATGAGCGCCACAACCCCAGAGTCGGCCACGACTGGACCTAATGGTCAGGGGTCCTTTTACTTTTCCTAAGCCTACTGTGCAAAGGTAAAATTGGCATTCATTGCTCTGCTTTGCTTTTTGCCCAACCCACAATTGTCCCACCAGTGCCATTGTCTCCTTACTGGAAAGCATCAATTATTCTGCATACACCTATGGGCAGGGAAAAGCTTCCATGCAAAAGGGCCGAAGTATGATTTTCAGGCAGGATTGGCTCTATAGCTCCTATTTAGAAATTAAGCCGTAGCATGTGATGTAAGTTTTTGATCTATTTACACCTACACAGTGATTGCCAACACCTTAAAACACACTGAAATGTGAGGAGCACTTGCTTCTAGTTGCATGCAATCTTCCCTGCAAAAAATAATTTAAAAAATCACTTTAACTTTTCATTATCCAAAACACATCTTTCTCTAAATTGAAAGAGCAAAGGGTTCCCGCCAGTAGACAAAAACAATTGTTTCATTTGAGCCAGGGCGTATTGGAGTATATAAGAGCAAATTTACAACATATGGCTTCGTATGAAAATATGAAGTAATAATCTCCACTCATATGCAGAGTATATCAAAATGGTGAGTAATGACAATCAGCTTCTGTTATGCTTGGGAGGAATATATTTCAGGTTTGGGGGGAAGGATGAGGAATCAAAGAAGCTTAGATCCAAAACTTCATTTTAGAAAGTTGACAAAAAAGGGCAAAGCAATAAGAATAAGCTACCTAGCCATAATCAGGTACAAAATGGATTAAATTATCCCACTCCGTACCTCATACTGCTGACATTACAGTGGTACCTTGGTTCTTGAACATAATCTGTTCCAGGAGTCCATTCAACTCCTGAAACCGTTCAAAAACAAAGGCGCAGCTTCTGATTGGCTGCAGGCTTCCTGCACCCAAGCGGAAGCTGCATTGGGCGTTCGGCTTCTGAAAAATGTTCAAAAACTGGAACGCTTACTTCTGGGTTTTCGGCGTTCGGGAGCTGATTTGTTTGTCAACTAAGCTGTTCGAGAACCAAGGTTCTATTGTACTCAAATAGTACTGTACACCCTCTTTCTCCTTCCCCCGCAAAGGAATTGAATAGCAGGAGTGTTTTAGCAGTCAAGATGTTCTGAACTTAAACTAGGAGACAGGCTTGTTGGAAGCAGATATCTATATATGCATGCACATACCTTTTCTGAAAATACTCTTTAAAATACTCTGGAATTCCATGCGGCTCAGATCAGTGTTTCCTATTTCACCCAGCAGCTGCTGTAACTTTTATTAAGTGAGCAGAAACGGTTAATACAGGGTGTTGCAATACGACATAAAGCCACCCACCACCACCTCTTTCTTCACAAAAATAAAAGCAAAAACAATGCTTTGTGAAAAATATTTATTATAGAAAAAGACCTATACACCGCCCATGGTTGCTTGCTTGCTTATGCTTTCTTTCTTTAGCAAGGTCACAAAGCAAATTCTAAACAAAACACAAAAGCTCCCCAAAGTACAAAACAATCCTCACTATTTCTCTGCTATTTCCCTCTGGTTATCAACATGAGTTAAGACCTGTGATGAGATTTGGCCTTCAAGGAAACAGCTCTGAGAATGCTCAGAGCACGTATTTATGTTGTGCTGTGCCTTTATGCTATTTCTGATTCCCAATCGGTTGGACTGGCCTCCAGGAAGAGGTCTGGGTGGGAATGCATGAAACTACTAGGGATAACACTAGTAAAATGCTTTTTTCTTTTTTTGCCCCCATTTGGTTCTTCCATCTGGAGATGAATGGGAGAGACTTTCTGACCATAGCAATAGCTTTGGAATGTGATTGGCTGAGTAGTGCAGAGAGGTGATTGGGCAGAGAGTGGGAGAATAACAAAAAGGTCTCCCTAAATTGAAACAGAACGATTATGAGTGCATGGGAGACAGGAAAGATTGTGGCTTTAAGGGTGGTTGTTGTTGTTTTTGCAAATTTGCGATTTCTTGCTTGGCATTCTTCCTGGAAGGGCAATGCCCTAGTTTGACCTAATGGAACAGCTTCTACTGTTATCTACACAGAAGTAAAACCCATTGAGTCCAATATATTACATTGGAGATCCACATTTGGAACTTCTGCTATTTGTTTTCACTCTAATGTAGCCATGAATTTGATAAGGGCACAGGCACAGGAGCAGGCACTTAATATTTGTCCCTCAGGCTGTTTTCCTGATGTAAATTACATGCTTCATGTTCCTGTTAGCCAAACAGGAGAAAAATATTCTGTTCTCCATCATGAGGCTAACAATATTGTGTTTTTAGGGGGCAGGGAGGGTTAATCTAGACTGGGAAAGCAGCCCAAGGGAAATGAAATTAGCACCTTCTTTACCAGCACAATTACTCTAGTCATATGTGCATCCACCACAGCAGTGCTGAAACAAAAACAGGTCCAATCACAAGTCTTCTTCGTAAGATGTAGTTTGGCCCTCACTGCTTCAGCAGAATTTTTATATAACCAAGACACCTTCTGATGGAATGCCAAATAAATTCAGTCAAACCCAAGGCCTCAATGTGCTCAGCCAATCACATTAAGAAAATAATGAGGAAAGGAAGGAAGCTCCTCTTACGCGTAGGAAGCAAATCAGAGAAGCAAAAGAGAGTAAAGGTGGAATTAAAAATAATAATCCACTTTTCTGTATTTCTTTTGCTTTAGTTTCTGGTTCCCCATTCATCTGCAACAAAAGTGCAAGCAAAAGCTTCAAGGGGAAGGAAAAAAACCTGAATTGCCAACCTCTACTCTTGACCATTGCAAACAAAACACAAAAAATCAATTTGCCTGTCAAACTGCTGTCTGGGTTCTTTACACACTAGATAAGCCAGGCAGGGAAATTTGCAAATTTTTATGTCCAGATTTCCCCATCACTACATCTTCAATTCCGGAGGGCCTTGGGAAAAGCTCACATCCTTGTCCAGTTGAAGTTCATGTCCTCCAACATTTCTCAGATGAAAATAGGCACATGCCGATTGGAAGGTCAGCGGTTCGAATCCCCGTGACGGGGTGAGCTCCCGTTACTCAGTCCCTGCTCTTGCCAACCTAGCAGTTTGAAAGCACACCAGTGCAAGTAGATAAATAGGTACCGCTCCAGCAGGAAGGTAAACAGCATTTCTGTGCACAGCTCTGGTTCGCCAGAAGTGGCTTAGTCATGCTGGCCACATGACCTGGAAGCCGGCTCCCTCAGCCAATAAAGCGAGGCAAGCACCCCAACCCCAGAGTCGTCCACGACTAGACCCAACAGTCAGGGGTCCCTTACCTTTACCTAAGGAAAAGTGGGACATTCTGGGATCAAATCAGAAACCGGGATGGCTTCTGTAAATCCAGGACTGTCCCTGGAAAATAGGGCTACCTAGGTCTGAAGGATTACACACCACACAATCTATGCTCCACACCATTCACAATGCATAACATAGCTTGCCTTTGCCTAGAGCAC